CTACTTGGAAGGCTGAAGTGGAAGGATCGCCGGAGCCCAGCAGGTCAAGGCTGTGGTGGCCGGGAGTGGCCACCGCACTCCAGACTGGGCGACAGAGTGACAGTCCAACTCAAAAAAAAAAAAAATAGTTCAAATAAGCAGTTAATTTTAATAGTATTTTATTTAACCCAGTATATTCAAAATATTATCATTTCAGGATGCCCTCAGGACAAACGCGATGAGGTGGCTGACAGTCTTGTTTGCATGCTGGGTCTTTGCAGTCCAGTGCATGGGTGACACACAGCACATCCCAGCACAGACTGGCTACCTCTCCGGTGCCCCCCCAGCCACGTGGGCTGGCAGCCACCTGGCTGAGGGACACATAGGCTGGCGGCCACTGTCCTGGCCAGCACGGGCCAGAAGCAGAGTTTCTCAGTCTTGCCACGATGCCTTTGGGGCCGGATGTTTCTTTGTTGTGAGGGCTGTCCTGAGCATCGTGGGACATCCTGTGGCATCCCTGACCTCTGTCTCGTAGATGCCAGCAGCAACCCCTGAATTGTGGCAACCAAGAGTATCTCCAGACAATGCCAGCAGTCCCCTGGCAGGGGGACAAGATCACCCCAGTTGAGACTCACTGACCTGGTGGGAGAAGCCTCTTCCAGGACTGAGGAGCCTGGACTGTTATTGCCGTCATCACTTGTGAGACCTGTGGTCGTGAGAGCTGCTCTTGGTAGTCACAGCAGCAGGAGGTACTAGTGAGCACATGCCGTCCACACATGGAACCAGGAGGCGGGTCTGGATCATCCCGTGTTGTGGATGAGGAGGGTGAGGCTCAGAGAGGTGGAGTCACTTGCCTGAAGCCACACAGGACTCGGGTCCAGGTCTGAACTCGGGTCCAGGTCTGAACTCCACACTATCCCATGTGACCCCAGACCCAACAGGTTGGGCTGGACGACCCTCTCAGCCTGTGTCCCTTTCGCCCTCCACCCTGGCCACGAGCCCACTCTCCAGAGACTTCCCCACTTCCCCACTCAGCTGTCCACTGCCCACAGAGAACTTCCCAGCCCAGACACAGGTGCTGGCTGGAGACCCCGGATGTGCCCCCAGTATCTTTTTTTTTTTTTGAGTTGGAGGCTCACTCTGTCGCCCAGAATGGAGTGCAGTGGCTGCTCCCGGCCACCGCAGCCTCGACTCGCTGGGCTCCGGCGATCCTTCCGCCTCAGCTTCCAAGTAGCTGGAACTACAGGTGCGTGCTACCACGCTTGGTTAATTTTTTTGATTTTATTGTAGAGATGAGGTCTCGCCAAGTTGCCCAGGCAGATCTCGAACCCGCAGGCTCAGGCAATTCACTCATCTCGGCCACCCAAAGCGCGGGATTACAGGCTGAGCCACCGAGCCCTGCCTCCCGCAGCACCTTTGAGTAGACCCCAAGGAACAAGGCCTGGTGAACACAGGGCCCACGAGTTGGGGAGTGGTGTCTTGACCCTCTCTCCTTCTGAGTCACAAAGGTGAGTGGACGGGCCCCAGCGCCCTCCCCCCCAAGAGCTCTGGGCTTCTGAGACACAGGTATGGCCTCTTTCCCTCCAAACACACACAGGGGCTTCCCCTGCCCCATTCCTTAGCAGACCCTGCAGTCCTGGCAGGAGCTGCCCTTCCAGGTTTCCAGCTGCTGGCTGCGTGACCTTAAGCAAATCGCTTAACCTCTCTGAGTCTCCATTGACCCAAATGAGGGCCCATCAGCAAACATGAGGAAGGATCTTGTGCCTGGTAGAAATTGTACACAAGGTCACGGTGATAAATAGTCAACCAACCACTTTGCTGCGCCACAAGGGGTCATGCAGGCCACCACAGGCAGGGGTGCTCTGGGCCACCCGCTCTCCCAGCAGAAATGGCCCATTCAGGGAGAGATGCCTGAGCCAGCCACATTCTGACCGCCAGGCTCCAGCAAGCTATGGGTAGATGCGTAGAAAGAAGGAAGTAGGATTCTTTTTAGAAATTGTACTTTGTGATTGTTGTTAAAGATAAGACAATTGCTGTTTCCTTTTGCTCTTTCCAAATACACTCATCCTAGGTCTGGCACAGGCACACCTGCCCCACACAATCTCCCCCAGTGTCCAGTGGTCCCTGCAGCTGATTGCTGCCTCTTCACCAGGGCTGGGCTGGGTCCCCATCTGATTCGAGCTTGAAGTTGGAGAGAGGGCACAGAGGAAGTGGTGTGTGGTTTCACCCTGGCCACCCACCTCTCGTGGGCACCGGAAGTGTGAACACTCCCAGAGTCGGGAAGGATTGGAGAGAGGGCAGCCCTGGCGCACAGAGCAGGGCGGTCACCCTCTGCTCGCCTCCTCTGCTCACCCACAGAGCAGGCCGTGGAGGTGGCTTCTCCTGTCCCTCCCTAGGTTTACGCCTCTGTCCAGGGGGTGAGCAGGCAGCCCCTTCTCCTCCTTGGGGGACAGAGGCTGGCACTCACGTCCCGAGATCCACAGGCACCGTGGGACAGAGATGACACTAGTGATTGTCTCTGGCCTCGGCAGGGCGGTCTCCTGGTGACCTCTGACCTCGTGATGAGCCCATGAGTGGCAGGTGGGAGGTGGGGTGATCCCCGTTCCCCCTGGCAGGACCTTGCCCGTCAGTCTCTGACAGAAGACAGGAGGAAGGTACGGGCCCAGTGAGATGCTGGGCAGGGACAGATGAGTGTCCTGCCTTGGGGAGAACCCGGAGGACTGAATTCCTTCTGCCTCAGCCATGACTCACTCCCGGACTTTCTTGTC